GGAGCAGACCCGTTGTTCTTTGCCGGCCCGTCATTACAATATGCCATTGTCCAGAGATAGGCGCATAACGCATGAACAGCAATATCAACCAGGCTGGTCACTTGATCCTCCACCACAAAATTGGAAATCCCATCCGGCCCTCAGGTTAAGCAAGCATCGATTAGGCCAGTTTCACGAGGAAAAGAAAAGACAGAAAAGTTAAAATTTAACAACACCACCCATGGTTCATGCAACGTCCAAACGTCTTGCTTGGCCGTTTTGTCAACGAAGCCATCAGCCAATAACACCATGGTGCTCGTTACGCTCGTGCATTCAACAGATTTCATTTTGCCTTTTACTAACCCCGGATTCGAGCAAGCTCTCCGCTCTTGGCTTCTCAGGATACAATGCTTAGGCAAAAAACAGAAGCCGCAGTGACGTGGTTGTGCCAGGAGGACCCTTGCTTGGGCTGACTGCCGTATATTGGTCGCGAGAACAGATGAAGATGCACATTGGCACAGTACAATACGAAGGCGCCGCGTAATGCTTCAAGTACGCAGGGCTGGCCTGTTGCCATGGCCTTGCTTCAAGAAGACCAGGATATGGCTGTTCTAAGAATAAACGACAGCCGTTCGCATCGCCAGCCTTCTCGTGGCAGATCCCCCAGTAATGGTCACAGATGCAATGCCACACTCGTATGGGCGGTCTGTACGTCCGTAGGATGCCCATGTCTTGCGAAATAAACAGTGTCATACGGCATAACCAGGCCCTCAAGCACACACACAGACATGAGACGCCTCAAGTTCTGTCTCTTTGTCCAGAGGCAGTCACATGGTCCTATCGCTTTGATTGCAGACATGGCCCTCCCATCCCCCCCTCTTGCCGCCTGCAGGATTTCCAGGAAACTCAGCAAGTCATTGGCAGCCAGCAGTTCCCAATGTGACACCATCTTGACTGTTTTCAAAATTTTGCCCCTCCCCCGTCTGTGTCTGTCGAGTGGGAGGATTCTTGCTCAGACTTCGGTGATGCTGCATTCTGCACATGGCAAAAATGACCAAAACGTTGGAAGTGTCCCACTTTTATGTAGCGTGTCAAGACCCCTGCCTCCACTTAAAAAGCGCGCGCCCCGCTTGGAGAGCTCGATCAGGGGCAGCTCTGCAAATGATTGGCTGCTAGCTCGGATAATATGAAACCAGCAGCGTTTCGGCATCGGGCTCGAGTGGGCAGGCTGACCGAGGCTGAGGCGGTCACGGATACAGTCCTAACTGATTGCTGGAAGGGAAGAACTGTAAAGTAATAGCAACTAGTTTCTGTGACTGTGTTGACTATCTGTTCTTTATTCACTCATTGTTTGGCCTAGTTGAGATGGAGGTGCGATCCAAACACGGCCGAGAACACCCCATCACCGCCTCAGGCCATGCTCGTCTGTTACGCCCTATTAAACTTTAAAAGTAAACTTTCCTTGCCTGAAACTGAAGATATTGGGATGCTTAGAATAGCTTCTGTCTGGGCGCAGTCTTTATTCACAAGGGACAACTTGATGCTTGAGCCGCGGTTTCTTTTTTTTTTCTTTTTTTTTTTTTTTTTTTTTTTTTTTATGGTGAACCTACCCCTGTCGGTTGGCCCGGGTGTGACGTAAGTGCCGATCGCTTTCACAGTTTGCGACGGAATATACATAGTTATTTGCCCATCAAAAAGTACACACTGATATGCTGTGGTATATCACAGCATGGAACACGATAGCCAGAGATGCCTGACTTGCCTAAATACCTTCCGCCTCTCACTGTACTTCGTATAACTTATATTACCCTCGACAAAGCCGCCTGCTTGGAAACGGCAGTCTTTCCAAATTGCCTACACATTGTATGTATACCTAGAACCTAGGCATGTAAGTGTTTTGGAGCCATGTATAAAGACCATTCTAGGCCTTTTTCCAATGTTTCGTTTCTTAGCTGCCTAGACAGCAAAACGCCGGCGTCTCGCATGCACACACGGACACAAACAACTGCCCTCGTGATGCGACGGCACCAAATTATTTTGCTCGTCAAACACGTCAAAACTTTGTTTCCTAACCACCCGTTGATATCTGCATCTGCACCGGTGGCAGCTCCGGCCAACATGCCCTGGAAATCAAACTTTTCCGAGAACGGCCCTGGCCACCCGGCGAGCTGGTAATGCGCCGCACAGTTCGCGAGCTGCTTGGCGTCGTGTTTCAAGATCTCCCAGTCGGAGCAGCCCAACAACGGCAACGGCAACGGCAACGGCACCCATGCCCAGTCAGTCAATCCCGTCCGGCCGTAGTTGTCCTTTCCCAACAGTCGTATGTTCTTTTTTTTTTTTTCGGTTGTTAATTCCAGTATTGTCTGAAACGCGCACGGCAGTGTGATGAGGCAATATTTCGTGGCATTACGTCACTGTGTGTCAAATGCCCATGCTTCTCTGGTTCTCTACCAGCCTACTTGGTGGTTCCTGTATGCCCTTTACGCCCTTCCATTTGCCATTTTCCGAAATTGGGCCTCTCAAGGTCCGAATTTGGACGTTGAACAAGGCTGCTCCCGAGTCATTCCCGCTCCACCATGTCTTTGGCTTACTGCAACCACATGAAGCAGCCGATGGGGGCACGAAATCGTGAGTGGTGTAGGGTATCTCGAGACAACTGGCGCATTGGCACATGGCTCCTCTCATTTCAGTTATCAAAGGTATGGCTTCCGAAGACGAACTGTGAGAGAAGAGAATTACAGGGCACGAATGGAGGATTGTATGGGTGAGGCCTCGTCTCCCCTGACAACTCCGGCGCATAGCAGAGATGGGCATCGTGGCAGCGTTGCAGCCGACACCAAGAATGCTATCCATCTAATTATATTTGGTACCCAAAGGGGGGTCGAGACCCTGTGTTCGGAACAAAATTGTCTGCTGATCCGCAAACCAGCGCGAGTGAAATAAGGCTTCCTAATGTCAGCATTGTTGCAGCGATACAACCTGTCAAATACTACTCCAAACCGCTCCCGTCCGAACATGCTCCGAGGTCGAGAGTCAAGACCATCCCGTCGGCTCCACAGTTTGTGTTGGTGTCGTCCCCGCTTGCGCCCTATAACGACCAGCCAGTACCTCTTTAACGGTTCGTTCGCCGGCTTCGGCCGTCGTCTTGCTAATACAGTACGCAAGGCCCACTTGGCGGCTGGCAGCCTTGGCATCACCCACCATCCATCCTCCATCACAGATAACGGCATCGACATGAACACTAAGGTGTGACTCAAGACGTGTGTAGTCTTGGAAAGCTCGATTGACTTCGATTGACTTCGGCTCACGGGGTCTTTTGGTCGTTCCAACCTACTACCGGGACTTCCTGTCATTTGTGTTTCATTTGAGCTTATGCCATAAGATCCTGGGTTTCATCTCGTCTCAAACATCAGTCGTGGGAACCTTTGGTGTCAAGGTCCATCCATCGACCACATCGTACCATGGCATCCCACAACGAGCCCGTGGTCAGTTTTCTGGGCCCCGTGGCTTCTTACTCGCACCAGGTAAGTTTCCGGGCCCAGGGCTCAACGGAAGATCGACGTTTTGCTGACTGCTTTATTTTCCCACAGGCGGTTCGGCAGGTTTTCCCAGAGGACAGATGGGACTTGAGACCTGTGAATACTATAGACGGTAAGTTTTAATGCCCGAGTGTCAATAGGCTGACTAGGCATTTCTTTCCCCCCCGGCAATATGATCCAAGTTATTCTGAACCACCCCTATAGATGTGTTTGATGAAGTCCAGGATCGTCGGGTCACTGCTGGTGTAGTGCCCTTCGAGAACTCGACCAACGGATCCGTAGTCTTCACCCTGGATAACCTGGCCGACCGGAATGGCCGATACAAGGACATCACTGTCGATGGCGAAATCTTTGTTGATGTCCATCACTGCCTGCTTGGCCGCAAGAGCCCCAACGACAAGCTAGATGAAACCCACGAGGCTTCTGGAACTTGCACTCCCACCGCTACGCATCCCAGTCCACCGAAGCCAAGGTCGAAGCCCCTCACCAGTCTCAGCCATATCAAGCGGCTTTACTCACATCCCCAAGCATTTGGGCAATGCAATGCCTTCATTTCCACTTATCTCAAGGGCGTGGAGATCATCGATGTCAGCTCCACCAGCAAAGCCGCTGAGATTGTCAGTCAAGATGAAACTGGCACATGGGCCGCCATATCCAACCACTTGGCTTTGAGTCTGTACGGCCTCGACCTGTTGGGTAAAAATATCGAGGATCGGGAGGACAACACCACCAGGTTTCTTGTAATTGGCACGAATCCCTCAGTGCCGGATGACTGGGATTTGCAAAAGCTGTCGATTGCCAAGTCGGGAAGCAAATCACTTGTCTCTTTTACTGTTCCTCATACTTCTCCTGGTGCCCTGGCCGATGTGCTTGGCTGCTTTCGGGAATTTAATCTCAACTTGACGAGTATCAATAGCCGGCCAAGTCTGTTGGCACCATTCCAGTATATTTTTTTCGTCGAGTTTGAAGGACACAGGTATGATGATCCTGATGGTCGAGTGAAGGGGGCACTGGAGAAGATTGGCCAGGTTGCCCAGAGCTGGCGATGGCTCGGGAGCTGGGAGCGGTACAGGTAGATTGGCGATAGGCTTGAACAACAACAACAAAACAAAAAAAAGAAACCATAATGCAAAGTACGGTCGTCGGCATGCTTACGAGCCAGATCAAACTGATGATATGTTTCTACAGGTTTCTGGCAGCTTTCGGCAACCCGGCATTAACTTGCAGCGCAGCAGCTGGCGAGAACCGTTGACATGTGTAGACGACTGGCAAGCCGAGGGAGGCCAGTATAAAGTAATCCCTTTCAATCAAGCTGAATTATTTTTCCTCCTACTCCTCTTCATCTCACTCTACTCCCCTTTGGTCGTCACAAACGCCTCACAAACTTCCCGTGTTGGTGCACATTTCTCTGTGGAATTGGCATTTCTTCGCTATCAAGATCAACAGGCATCATCTCTATTTGGCTTCGTCATTCTTGCGAAAATGGCTGTTGTTGACCTACAGTCCAGAGAGCACAAGGATCTTCTAGATCTGATAGATACGCTTCGTGCAAAGGGCATCAATCAGTATGTCGCGCTTCCTGAGATCGTTGTTACAGGGGATCAATCTGCAGGGAAGAGCTCTGTCCTAGAAGCCATTTCTGGCATGTCTTTTCCTACCAAGGACAGCCTGTGCACGCGGTTTGCCACTGAGCTTATCCTTAGACGATCTACAAGTGTGGGCGTCAAGATATCGATTCTCCCAGCAGCAGGTCGACCGATGGGCGAAAAAGAAAAACTGAAAGGATTCCGCCCGGTGGTGGAACAAGGCAGCCTGGAGTTGTCACATGTGGTTGAACAAGCCAAGTTGGCCATGGGCATAACCCCAACCTCTAAAGCTTTTCGAAATGATATTTTGCGAGTTGAGATTTCTGGGCCTGACCAGCCTCATTTGACCATGGTAGATCTTCCAGGACTTTTTCAGGCTGGCAACAGCACGCAATCTGACGAAGACTCCGAAACCGTGACTAAAATTGCGCTTCAATACATGGAAAGACCAAGAAGCATCATTCTTGCGGTTGTTTCTGCCAAGAGTGACTTCGCGTTGCAGCAGGTTACTCGACTTGCTCGAAAGTTGGATCCGGATGGACGTCGCACCGTTGGCCTCATCACTAAGCCGGACACATTAGACGAAGGCTCAGAGAGCGAAGCGGCGTATATTCGTCTCGCTCAAAACGAAGATGTGCGATTCAAGCTGGGCTGGCATGTTTTGAAGAACCGTGATTACAAGATGACGTTGAACAAGGCAACTTCACAGGAGCGCGACGATGCGGAGAGGGATTTCTTCTCCCAAGGCCCTTGGGCAGCGCTTGATCCATCTACTGTTGGCGTCAAAGCACTAAAGCCTCGTCTAAGCAATCTTCTCAAAAATCAAATACTTCTTCAACTTCCAAACCTAGTGAATGATGTTGAGGCTGGCATCAAGACATGCAAACATCAGCTCACAAGACTCGGACCGCCACGAAAGACCATAATCGAGCAACGCCACTACCTTATCCATATTAGCCAGGCATTTTCCGATCTGATGAAAGCAGCAGTCGATGGATTTTATAACGATTCATTTTTCGGTAGCTCAAAGTCGGAGGAAGGTTACCAGAAACGTCCCCGAGCTGTTGTTCAAGGTTTATTGACCAAATTCAAAGACAAGATGAATGAACGTGGTTGCACTAAAGAAATCGTGGACACTGAAGATGATTCAGATAGCGAAGGCATGACTTTGACCGGGAACAAAGTGCTTAGATCAGCCTATGTCGAAGAAGTCGGGGAACTGATGAGTCGAAACCGTGGCTGTGAGCTGCCGGGGACCCTCAATCCGCTCATCGTTGGCGAGTTGTTTTTTGACCAGTGCAGGCCTTGGGAGGAAATTACCAGAAGTCTTTTCATCCAAGTCTTGAACTCAGTTTACTTCGTCAGTGACGCAATCATAGGCCATGTTACAGTTGAAAGCACGGCTGCAAGGCTGAGACGGTTCATTAGCCCAGCCATTCAAGCCCTGGGTCAAGAGCTGAAAGAGTCTTTCCAAAGTCTACTCGAACCATATCAAAAAATACACCCTATTACATACAACGAAGCGCTCACGGTGAACGTTCGAAAGGCGCAGGCTGAAAGACGACGTCGCAGGATAGAAGTTAAGCTTGAAAAGGCATATCCTGTTAATGTATGGAGTTCCCAATCACTGACGGTAACCCGACAAGCTATCTTGGATATCTTCACAGCTGAGGAAGACGTTGATATGAAGTTGTGTGGTAGTTCCTTGGCTGTGGACTATCTGGAAGCCTACTACAACGTAGGTGTCTGTACTGATTCCACTTTAACAAAGTTCACGACTAACAATTACTTAGGTGTCCTTGAAGAAATTTATTGACGACATCAGCACTCTAGGGGTAGAATGCTGCCTAATTCAAAAACTCCGAAGTCTTTTTGAGCCCCGAAATATTTACAAGATGAGCGACACGGATGTACAGCATCTTGCTGAAGAAGATCCTGCGGAGAAGCTAGAGCGGTCCAGATTGAAGGAAAAGCTAAACATACTTGGCGGGTGCTTGTATGAACTCAGGAGCTTGGACAAGCTCAATCCAGACTCGAAAGGTATGTGAAGGCGTGTCAGCGCCGTCCTGCAGGGATAACCCAAATCCCGAGGACGAGGCAACAACTAACTCATAATAGGACCAAAGTCATTCAGAATGTTGACAAACGGTTTGATCAAAACAAGAAAGAAGGGCCTTGCGACTGACGATTCGGATAGCCTTGATTTGGCTTGAAGTATTTCTTGAGTGAGATTAACAAGGTTTGGAGACAGCAATTCAGCTTGGCATTAGTGAAGCATCTGGACAAAGACAGGGACGTTTTGGGAGGGCGCAATGCATCCATCATAAGAAGTTGTATGCGATTGACCTACATATATTCACACGCTTCTGGAGGCATGGAAGTTCATTTTGGGTTGTGAACATTTTAAGGACACTTGGATCCTTTCGGAGTTGATACACAACGTACTTGCTACCCTCGGGGCTCTGGACTTGCTATGGACGGATGGATGGATAGAGACGCGACGATACATAGACGCGTTACTACGATAGACTCGAAAAGTGAATTTGATGCTTTTAACAATGCCCTCGGTGACCACCGCAGTTCTAACATTTGTGGTTTTGATGTTGCCAAAGTCTAGGGTCAGTATCAAGTGGGAATGATGCATCCCAGGTATCCCGAATCTCCGCTCCCAGCGAAAGTAAACTCCCTGGCGCCATGCCAAATCGATCTATTCGAGTCGCCTTCACGATGGAGCGGATGGATCGGGTCGTCGGCCATTGGCACCTGCAAGATGTCCCTCCGACTTCCGAAACTTTGCGACTACTAGTACTACTGGGGCGAGACGATGTGGGGGGAAGTGGTGATCATAGACTGGATCATGCTCCACATGGCAGGGGCAGAGTTTGCATGCTTGATGCATTGGGAGATTTGAGAGAAATGCATTCGCAACAGGAATGAAAGCGTCAGGCCAGCTTCTAACGGTATGCTATATCCGGCCTCTCCCAAGCATCTGGGGTGCTCATGCACAACGCAGTAGCAGGCTGGGTGCGCGCATTCCTTCAGCAAGGTTATGGCATGTCCGGGTGTTCCTTCCCGTCAGCGGGTGGGAAACCTTGACTGAGTGACACGTGTGGAGCATAGATCATGTACATGCATTTATGTAGATGAACAGATGTCATACTTGAACATGGCAGGTGCACTCGATCTAGAACAGATGGGGAGGGCCAATCGACAGGCACCGCGTGACCCAAGTCGATTCGAACACCCATTTCGTACTCAGTACGGAGTACGACAACAAAAAATTGTCAACCCGTACTTGCAAGAACGAGGGCTTCTGTACCAAGTGCCCTGATAAGTGCTTCAGGGCCGTCCGCCAACGTGTCCACCGAACCACTGACGAGCCGACGCGCCCCTCCCACCCAGAGCCTCGACCTCCCAGACGGGGCGGCCTTGCAGGAAGCCTCGCTGGATCGGCTCATCCTTATTAGCCATTGACGTTGACACGCCCCTCCTCCAACACATGGATGTGGCTTGAAGATCCAGTATTTGATGAACAACTTTGCGTCACGACGGTTTGATACTTCGGCGGTGCGCAAAGTTTGCAGCGACGGCCCGGTACCAAACTTTTCGAACCCAGTTCAGCTCGTCTTGCCCAAAGTTAGCCGCGGCCGTTTTCTTAAGAACTAAGCATCCCCCCGAGATTGCGCCTCGAAGCAATCCCTCTCTTGCTTTCTCTTTTGCACCGTGTTGTATTCCCACTTAGTATTTTCAAAGACGACACCGTCCTACGAAACACAGTATGGCGCCTCGACCAATTTTCACCATTACGCACCCGCGAGCCTGCTCAACGGCTTTTGAACGGGTAGGTAATCGAAGCTGTGCTCTTCCGACAGCTCCTGTCGACGGCTGAGAACGCCAAGACGAAAATCTCCCTTCTTCCTTGTCGCGGTTTTTAATAACACGATATTAGGTCTTCATGACCCGCAGAGACGAATTGGCTAGCCAGCATGAGCCATTTGGGGACGCATACTACTTTGGCCCAGAATGCGTCAGTGAGCGTTTCAAGGACGACCCTGCTCGCCGCGAAGAAAGTGGTGTATCGGATGCCACGTTCAAGAGCGTACTAGAAGGATTTGACGAGGTGGCAAGACAGGTTCGCTTTCTCTCATATGCAAATCTGTGTTCTTCCGCCCGTGTTTCTGTTTTTTTTTTGTCGTGGGTGGCGGAGCATGAATCTACAGAACAAGCACACTCTGCCACTCGCACAATGCTTGGTCTGGCCATGATGCCATCTCCAGAGGGTCAATAAGAGAGGGTTGATACCTCAAGTGAGGTGGAGACTTAGGATTCCAGTCTCCGATCGGGTTGATCAGGGCCTGCAATTCCAGCCTTGGATGTACAACAAGCCCATGTTTTGTGTTACCTGCAGGAACGGAGCGTAGTAGTGCAGTTCCATATCTGCTCACTTCAGTCAGACCTTGCATCAATGGCCTAAGTCCAACTTGGGAAGAGAATTTTCCTTATCCGTATGAATCTTGCATATCTGCAAAATTTGACAAAATCGTTGGTTGGGTCTTTGGTGATTCTGAAATGGGCGTTTGGACTTGCCGTTACGCAACCGATCTTCGAACACAATTTCCTGGGATTTATACTTACCATTGTCATCCAGGGCAAACGCGTCTTCATCAAGGACATGGCCTACTATCTATTCCCCGCCCCCGGTGAGAAGGCCCAAATCGCAGCATCTCTCGGCGGCGGCGAAGAACCAAATAACCCAACCGTCATCCCATTTGATTTGCTCAAACAGTTTCACTTCACATTTCTCATTCGACATCCCCGTCGCTCTGTTCCCTCCTACTGGCGATGCTGTATCCCGCCGCTGAGAGAAGTCAGTGGCTTTGATTACTTCTTGCCCAGTGAGATGGGATACGAGGAGCTTGTTAAATTTTTGGACTGGGCCATCGAAAGGGGTCTCGTTGACAAGGATCGGTTGACAGTTGTTGATGCGGACGACCTGCTTGATAACCCTGAGGCTATGATCCGCAAGTACTGCGAGAGAACAGGTCTCGCGTTTGACCCGAGCATGCTGAAGTGGAACGATGCTGATCAGGAGCATGCTCAGAAGCTGTTTGCGAAGTGGAATGGCTTTCATGATGATGCCCTCAGTAACAGGGAACTTAAGGGTAGAACCCACGCCCAGGTACGCTACGATATAATATAAACAAGGGATCAGTGAATGATGTTTGGTCCAGGAAACTAACTATGCTTAGAAAACACTGACTGTTGAGGCCGAAAACAAGGACTGGGAAGCCAAATACGGCAAGGAGGCCCAAAAGATCATCCGCGAGACTGTTGATGCTAATACTCCCCTTTATGAGTACCTGAAACAATATTGCATCAAGGTATAAGCACCAGTTGGATGTAAGGCGCAAGGGAAGGAAACAAAAGAGTCATGAAAACACCAGGATGCAAATTGCTTCTGGTGTATGCTCTGGCAGGGCTTGACTTTACATATGATACATGGATGGCCAGTAGCCTCTATCTGTTCGTACAATTAGATTCCAGCAGCGTAAGGCTGTTCTTTGAGTCGGGCACAGTCCCGAGCCTAGACACTGGCTCTTCGTTCATTTCAGGTCGCTCTGACGACCATGTTTTCTCCCCCCTTGTCCCAATGAAAGTTGGGCAATACTTTCTCCTGCACATGGACGTCTTAGATTCCGCTTTAACCCGTAGTGTAGACGTAGACCTCTCTAGGCCGTAGACTCCGCCTCCTTCCCAGAAGTGTAGGCTGGCTCGTCAAACAGCTCATGCGTGACGTTCTTAGACCATGCCTCCGCGTACTCCTTATCCTGATCATTCGCCCACCTGATAGAAACCTGAATCGGATCAGGCTGACCATCCGTAGCCGTGTTCGCAACAGCAATTTCGTTTCCGTTCCCATGACCAGCCAAAACAGCCGCCATGTCAGCAATTGAATTCGTCTTTTGCGCATTCAACGCAATACCTCTTTCGGCTTTGCTTCTCACAGGCTTGTAATCGTTCCCCGCGGCCTTTTCCTGTGCAATTTTCTTCTTGTCTGCGGCGGTAAACTCTTGGGGCGATTTGTATCGAAACTCGTCGGTCCAGGACACCTCGTGCAGGTGCTTCAATTCGCGTAGCTTTTGATAGACGGAACGCCCGACAGCCCCCTGGCCCTCAGGGAATTGAATCAAAGCCATGGGCGACCAGTAGTCTTTCCGGAACTTTGCCGGCTTTGTCTTTTTGCCATTGAAGGGCAGCTGCTTCAGTGCGTGGAACCCCTGTACCGAAACTGTCAGCATTGATGAATTGAGAGGTTCCCCTGTGGGAAAGAAAATGTTGGGTTGAATGACATACGTCCAGCCTCTCGTCAAAAGAGTAGATTATTTGGTCAGATCTCCGGTGTCGAAAAACCCAAATCTTTTCTCCGTGGCCTTCCGGGCCCTGGAAGCCCTTCCCTCGACCTGTGTGCACTTGCCGCAGACATGTGCGCACTATACTTGACCATTGGCCAAGCCGGGGCCGTGATGTCGTATTCATCGTGGTCGGGTGTCGTTGAGACCGGGCTTCGAGATGGCGTCAATGCAGCTGAGCATCCTAGGCCGAGCTCGAAAATCGAGGCATCGCCTACTGGCGCGCAGTCATGTGACCTTGGAAGGCGGAAAAAGTGGTCGGGAAGCACATCCCCTTTGCAGACAGGTCGCTTGGACCCACATCAATCGACCAGACTGCAGCTGGGTACCTGGAGTGACACTATAATATGTTTTAATATAGGTCCATGTAACTTAAACAATCATTAGGAGTTTTTTAATATAATATAAATTAAGTGTGGAACTATGTACCCTCAAAGATCCGGCTTTCAATTGGATCAAAATCCCTACCGGTACGAGCTTGCAGCCTTAACACCCAAGGGGATGGAGTCCTCCCTCAAGTTACTCCGTAACGGTTGGTGATTTAGCGGGCCATCAGGTCATGATAAGATCATTGATGGCACCGTCCAATGAGAGGGACGACACCCCGCCTATGGAGCCACCGAAAGCCGGATTTCGAGTGACATCACGCAGCCTCTCCGAGCTTCTGGTGGCTTCTGGGTACCTGGGTAGCTTTCCAGGCCATCCGAGCAGCTTCCAGCAGTTGCCAGGCTCATCTGCCGTAACAAAGAGCTCTTCCATCTCCCGCACAATGGGCTACTGTATCCACCACACCACCGAAGATATATTTCCTCCCTCGTGGCGATTGAAGTATGTTTTCTTTCCTTCATTTTTCCTTCGTACATCAAACACATCAACCTGAAGGCTGATATTTTTGGCCAACCAGACACTAGCTGGTGCCCAACTTTTATGCTTCACTGTGGACAAGAAGCCTCACATTTTTTTGAGCCGAGCTTCTCACGAAAGATCAAAACACCCCACACAATCCCTTTTATCGCCATACAGCGAGCCATTTACCGTCTACACATACACGACCTACAATGACTTCCCGAATGGATTTTACAGACCGGGCCCAAAAGGCTGTCGAAGACGCCATGGGCCTGGCCGAGCAGTATGGACATTCACAGCTTCTGCCAGTCCATCTTGCCGTCTCATTACTGGAACCACCAGTCGACCTCTCAAAGGACCAGCAAAATGCTCCCCAAAATTCCACAATTACCCTTTTTCGACAAGTCATCGAGAAAGCTCACGGTGACCCTCAACTATTCGACAGGGCCCTGAAGAAGACTCTCGTCCGGCTTCCGAGTCAAGATCCCCCGCCAGAGCAGGTGTCCTTGGCCCCCTCCTTCCATGCCGTCTTAAGGAAAGCCATGGAATTGCAAAAGGTCCAAAAAGACACCTATATTGGCGTTGACCATCTCATTACTGCCCTGGCCGACGATTCCTCAATGCAGGCACCATTGAAAGAGGCCAGCATTCCCAAGCCCAAGCTGGTCCAGGATGCTGTCCAAGCCATTCGAGGCACCAAGCGAGTGGACAGCAAGACCGCTGACACTGAACAAGAAAATGAGAACTTGGCCAAATTCACCATCGACATGACTGCCATGGCCAGAGACAAGAAAATCGATCCCGTCATTGGGCGTGAAGAAGAGATTCGACGAGTGGTTCGGATTTTGTCTCGACGCACAAAGAACAACCCTGTTCTCATCGGAGAGCCTGGTGTTGGTAAGACTACTGTTGTCGAGGGGCTTGCCCAGCGAATAGTCAACCGAGACGTGCCTGACAACCTGAAGCACTGTAAACTCCTGTCTCTGGATGTCGGCGCGCTTGTTGCGGGTAGCAAGTTCCGTGGTGAATTTGAGGAGCGAATGAAGGGAGTCTTGAAAGAAATTGAGGACTCTAAAGACATGATTGTACTCTTTGTCGACGAAATCCACCTGCTCATGGGCGCTGGTTCCTCTGGCGAAGGAGGCATGGATGCTGCCAACTTGCTCAAGCCCATGCTTGCCAGAGGACAGCTTCACTGTATTGGTGCCACCACTTTGGCTGAGTACCGAAAATATGTCGAGAAGGATGCTGCTTTTGAGCGGCGATTCCAGCAAGTCATGGTCAAGGAGCCTACCATTCCCGAAACGATATCAATCTTGCGAGGCCTGAAGGAAAGATACGACAGACACCATCGTGTTACAATCCTTGACAGCGCTCTTGTTGCTGCCGCCAATCTCGCAGCTCGATACCTCACTTCCAGAAGAATGCCTGATTCAGCCATTGATCTCGTTGACGAGGCTGCCGCTGCGGTCCGCGTCGCTCGCGAGTCCCAGCCAGAAATTATTGACTCCCTTGAGCGCAAGCTCAGGCAGCTCATGATTGAGATTGCGGCATTGGAGAAGGAAAAGGACGAGGCATCTCAGATTCGTCTTCAGCAGGCCAAGAAGGATGCCAAGAACGTTGAGGAGGAGCTGGAGCCTCTACGCGAAAAGTACCAAAACGAAATCAAGAGAGGCGAGGAGATCCACCAGGCTAAGCTCAAGCTCGATGAATTGGAGAAGCGGTTGGAGGATGCCATGAACATGGGAGATAATGCAAAGGCTGCTGATATCAAGTACGGTGCTATTCCTGAGCAACAAACGACGATCAAAGAGCTCGAAGCTCGCAAGGTTGCCGCAGATGCTGCTCTCAATGCTGCTGGCGGCGAAGCTGCAACGGCCATGGTCACAGACATTGTCACTGCCGATCACATCAACGAGATTGTGGCTCGTTGGACCGGTATCCCTGTCACTCGACTGCGCACTTCTGAGAAGGAGAAGCTGATTAACATGGAGAAGGTGCTTGGAAAAGTCGTCGTTGGTCAAAGGGAGGCAGTCAATTCTGTCGCCAACGCCATTCGTTTGCAACGATCTGGACTTGCCAATCCAAACCAGCCTCCCAGCTTCCTCTTCTGCGGTCCCTCTGGTACCGGTAAGACATTGCTCACCAAGGCTCTTGCCGAGTTCCTTTTCGATGATCCCAAGTCTATGATTCGGTTCGACATGTCAGAGTACCAAGAGCGACACGCGCTCAGCCGCATGATTGGTGCCCCCCCTGGATATGTCGGTCATGATGCTGGTGGTCAGCTTACAGAGGCTCTGCGCCGAAAGCCATTCTCGATTCTTCTCTTCGACGAGGTTGAGAAGGCCGCCAAGGAGATCTTGACTGTACTGCTCCAACTCATGGATGACGGCAGAATTACGGATGGCCAAGGCAGAGTCGTTGACGCCAAGAACTGCATTGTGGTCATGACCTCCAACTTGGGTGCTGAGTATCTCACTCGGCCAGGCGCTAAAGAAGGCAAGATTGACGGTTCAACCCGCGAACTGGTCATGAGCGCTTTGCGCAACTACTTCCTTCCCGAGTTCCTGAACAGAATCAACTCGGTTGTCATCTTCAACAGACTTACACGCAAGGAGATTCGCAAGATTGTGGATCTTCGCATCAACGAAATCCAGAAACGTCTCGAGGATAACGGACGCAAGGTCAAGATTGACGTGTCTGACGAAGCCAAGGACCACCTAGGCAACGCTGGCTACTCGCCTGCATATGGTGCTCGGCCTCTTGCCCGCCTGATTGAGAAGGAAGTCCTGAACAAGCTAGCTATTCTCATTCTCCGAAACAACATTCGCGATGGTGAAACTGCTAGAGTGGAGCTTATTGATGACAAGATTACGGTTTTGTCGAACCATCCTGACAGCGAGATGAGCGATGATGAGGATATGATGGAGGATGAGGGAGACGCTGTCGATGAGATAATTGGAGACGACATGGATGAGGACATTTATGATTAAGTGAGCGGCCAAAATGTGGCATGAAGGACTTTGACGCATGGGCGTTGGAGGGAAAAACTAATGATTGCGAAACGGCACGGCGTTGGAAAATGCTTTTGAATTAATCATACTAGATGTTGTAGACTTTTCAATACTAAAAGTCTTATTTTATTAAAAGGACGGAAACGTCCCATACTCCATGCCTCTCATACCCACCACGTGAATGCAATAAATCCCAATTATAGTGCTTTTGTACATGGCATATGTATATGAATAATCCGGCCTCAAGGCAAGCCCAACAGCGCAGCGTCGTCTCCCACCCATCCAAAGTCATCCATGAACATGGTCCAGTCTACATCTTGGATAGGATCCGTGGACAAGTTTCCGGGCTGTGGCTCGCTACTGTTAGGTTGTGTACTGGGGGTGGTGTAACTCGCACATGGACCCTCTACAACATCAAAGTCAGCAAACTCCTCTCTTTTTGTTCGTCGTCCCAGACTTTGAGAAGGGGTGGTTGTTGCTACTCACGCATCACCTCCAGCGCATTGTTCACCCTATCGGTGCTGTTCTGGGCGTCCCTCAGCGCGGTGCGAAACTTGTTCAGACACCAAAATGTCACTCCTGCGGACGAGCGGTCCGGCCTCGCGCCGGGGGCGGCACCAAAGCTCGGCACGAGGTTGCGTATGCTCCAGAAGGTCTCCATGGTGATGCTCGCGCGGTGGGCGAGGTCGGCGTCGCGCACGGAGGCGCGGAGGACGGCGCCGCAGGCCTGCTGGACGAGGAGGTGGGCGTCGGGCTCGCTCATGCCCGGCGAGCAGTCGGAGTGGAGGATGGAGATGATGATGCAGGCGGCGTCGATGTTGGTCCTGGTGGCCCAATGCGGGGCGTGGGCGAGGAACTGGATGCGGGCTTCGAGGTCGAGGCTGTGTGCGACGATGGAGCGGGCCGTGTTGAAGACGCGCACGGCGTGCGACTTTATCGACGGCACGGCGGTGTTGGGCGGCCATATGAAGTAGCATAGCTGGATTTCGAGCTGTGCTGCTAGCAGGCAGAAGCGGGATATGTCTGGGGGGGAGGGGGAGTTAGCTAGGTACGTACAGTTGGCAGGGCGAGGGGGGGATGGCTATCTGTAAAATGTGTACCTGAGTCGTATTTGGTGATGAGGGGCTTGAGAGACTCGAATTCCGTCTCCCACATTGCCACCTCGGATTCGTGGACGCCGCCGTGGGCTGTGACTTGTGTAAACATGCTTGTGTGGAAGCGGTTGAGGAAGCGTTGCACATCGTGCATGATTATGAGGTCGACCCATTGCGACGCATCGAGTGCTGCTTTTGCCTTGGAGTCGCTGTGTTGTGTGGAAGGCGGCGGAATGCCAATACTCGCGGCGGTTCTATCATCAGTGTTAGGCGTGTTGTTGTGGCTGTTTGAGACCGGGGGGAACAAGAGAGCGAGCATGTACCGTTGTGAGAGCATACAGCACGCTAACCATGTGGAAGAAGCTTCTTCGTCTGTGGCATGGAAATTCTGACGCAGGCCAACCAAGAATTGAGAATTCTTCCCCTGGCCTGTGTGACAACCCAGTCCCAAGGCTGTGGTTGTCGCTATACCGGCAAAGGTTGGCGATGGGTCTACGACGAAGCGAATATTCGGCATCGGCCAGGTACATATGATTAAGAGGGCTTGCACGGCGTCGAAATCCAGGGCGGGGGCCGATGACATTGTCCAAATGTTCTTTTCCAGGTGGTCTGTCAGCAATGGGAAGAGGGAACGATCTCTGGCATAGCGTCGACAGGCCACATGGATGACGAGCCAGAAGAGGGTTTGGTTTGCCTCATAGCAGTCGTCTGGGTCCTTTTTGCGCAGGACCGGCACGAATCGATGAAAGTGTCGGAGATATCTGGGGAACTTTGCGTGAGCACCTGGCATCTGGGCATGTCCAAGGGCTTTCTTTTTTGAGACCTGTGACGCTTGCAGAACGGGACTCACTTGGTAAAGTACCAATCGATATCCTCACCAGACACGATGTGGTTTCCCAGGATACGAGCCTCTGTCGGGCCGGTTTTCAGACGCCGCTCAGAGCTCTGGGCAGGGTGTCCCCGGCTACTTGACGATTCTGGCTGAGGTGTCGGCGGCTGTGGTGTGGTTGTGTTGATGCCGGCAGCGGATCCGGATCTTTGGTCTGGCAATGCTGGGATGGCGGCGCGCGGGCTTGGCGGCGTCCAGGCGGACTGGGCTTTTCCATTGGCCGCGGGCTGGACGACTTGCTTGATGCTTTTCAACTCCTGCTCGAGTTGTTCTAGCTTGCTGTGATGGCGGTGGGTGAGCCAGTGTGCTATCGCAGCCGCAGGATGAAAATCAAAGGTGTCGCACAGCAACAATAAGCTTAAATAGACGCGGCTCAACAAAACGGTCGACGTACCTTCTCTTGGTGACTCTCTTGTGAGACTTGTCAACTACGCACGATATTTGGAGTTTGGCGCATCGTTGGCAGGCTTCGCCAGGAACTTGATTCGCTCTGCATCGCACCTTTTACACCGCCATGAGGCACCGTATTAGCTGTCAGCCCATTGTGTCCGGCGAAATTGAGAATGGTTTTGCACCGTCAATGTTCCAGTGGCACAATCAATACAGCGTGTCTCACTTTGGAATTGCGGCAATTGACGCAGGCTATGTTTCGTCTTGTTCTGTCGTCATGGCTGTTACCCTGACCGGGTGGCGTAGGCGACATTCTCACTCCGCATAGGTGTACAGACTTCCCGACTTGGACCCTCCCTTGGTCTGGTCAATGTCCTCCAAGTTGGCCTGATCAAAAATGATCGGAAATCATGGACGCGGACTGTAGTTGAGCCAGACCGATCACACTGAGTGACATGGCGCGCGGCCGTCCCCTCCAACTTTTCGGTCCCAGAGATGACGGCGAGAGAAGGACAAGTGACAAATGAATGACACACGGAAACAAACAAAGATAAATCGATGGGTCACCTGCCTATTTCTTTTTCTCCTTTCCAAGCAAGGATTGTCTTTTTGGTTGGGTAGGGTCGATTTTCCAAAAGCTTAAACGTCGAAAGCATTGCTGACTTTATCGCCGCTAAACCCGGATTGAAGATCGAACTCATTACGAGTCCTCCTCCTCAGTCACGTGGATCCTCTCCGCAAACCGCAAACCGCAAACCAAACAGTCCACATTGCCCCTGGTGTCGGTGGTTATGCACGCAGGCCTTGCTCGACCTTGCCTTGTCCGCGGTAATATGTGTGATACATGATGCTCTGCCAATACACAGTCGACGCCCACGTCTTGCTGTTCCTTGACGTTGACTCTGTAACTACTATATACAGTGCCAACTGCAGAGTACTTGTGCATGTTTTGTCGACTGGTCAAGTCTCGGTGAGGTTTACAACAGAGAAAAAACAAAAAAAAAATTCTGCATTCTTGCCTTCATGTTACAAGTCCGAAGGGTCCCCGAACTTGCACACGAGAAACCTGCGCACAGTGTTTCTATCCCTTCACTTCCTCTTCTTGCTCTCCACTTGCGTCTCGCTGCTCAGGCTCCCATACCCAGATACTGCAAATACAGCAGCCAACTTCCATAACACCCATGCGAAACCCAGCGCTACGGCTGCAGCAGTTCCAAGTCCAACCAACGAAGCCCCATCTTGCTTCAGAACTGGTACCGAGATGGGCGTCATGATCCTGTCTCCCGTAGCAGGCCGCGGCGTGGCATGCCAAAACACTGTATTCTCGCTAAATAGCCCATCGTAACCCAGCCGAGTCCTGTCAAAGGGATTGTTGGATAGGTCTACGTGAGCCCCAGACTCACATGCCCAGAACACAGCTGGGTAGGGAATCTCAATGTCAACTTTGCCGCTCACAGACGGTTCAAGGTAGCGAAGGTGCAGAGGCACCTCGGCTGTCCAACTTTCCGGCTCATTGGGGTTAGGAGGTGCTAATTGCAGTAAGACGCTTGAGCCCCATGTTTTCGTGGTATATACTGGTGCCTCCAAGTCAACAGGCAGGCTTGTGTACCATGAAGCTGTCAAATTCTTGGACGCTAAGAAAAGTTGGTCGGCGAACTGGTATCGATCTGCAAAAATCGTCCTGGGGAGAGTAAAGTATGCGTGAAGACCGCACTCATCCTCTGTGGGCGGCGGTATATTTGAGCTCAATGTCAATCGCAAAGTTGGGTGTAAGCCTGTGGGGGAGACAAAGTCGGATGAGAAATAAGTGTCGGCGACGCGATGTCGCGACGGGAAACCAAACAGTGTTCCGGAAGGCTTCTTGTTCTCGCCAAGAACAGTGAGAAACCCAGATACTCCTACTTCGTGCGGCTTTTGATTAGGCGGTGTATCCTTGGAAAAGATGCCCACCTCTGTTCGCCTGGTAGAAGAGCCGGTCACACTGATGCTTTGCTCAGCCAACGGGAACAATGACGAGATCCTCAAAGATTGAAGTGTCGAGTCCCACAAAATATCCAAGCTCACGGCATTGGATAAGGCCTCCGCCCGGCTCTGGCAAACAGAGTCTTCCTTGGAGCATATCTCTTTGGTAGCCCAGCTAATGAAGGCTGACAGATCCTCGAGCTCTTGGTAAAAGGTGGACGCTGGAGGGCTAACAGACTGTCCTTGGCCATGTGTTGTAAACGACTAGCGACGCCATCAAGTCAGAAAACCACAAGCTTTGAAAGGCGAAAGGCAGGAAAATGTCATTGACAAACCTCGGCTGACATGCAGTCTATTGAGCCAAAGGCCTGCAGAGAAGTACACAGCCTCAACCTGCAAGCCAATCAACAATTTGCACCTGGACGAGATGCCAGATGGCTCTATTAAAAAGAAGGACGCCCTTCACTCACTGTTCATGCCCAGCGTTCTCGCTAGCTGGTGTAGAAAATACATGAAGACCTGGCGACAACCGCGAAGTAAAAGGCTCAACCGTGTCATAGGTCAATGGGCTGGCCCACCGAACGCTGATATCTCGGTAAGCTTGAAGGAGGCCAGCAAGTTCCGATGGTAGCTCAGCTACTTCAACCGTTAGCCTGTTTTCTCGGGCCGCCCTTACCGAGGGCCCGTCAAGTTGGTTGGCGTCGACTTTGAGGAGCCCTGGGTCAACGTCGACCCCTTGGGCATGGACAAATGTGACTCTCTCCTTCATGTTGCTCCGAGTCGTGTCCCCCTAGGTGAGGGTAATGCGGGAGTCGGGGGGGCTGATGGGTGCTTTGGCAGCCAGGGAGCAGAGAGCAACACAACAAGAGTGCCTACAGGCAAAAAGGACCGAAACGATAGGTAGGTGTGCCAGATCCAAGCTCCAGGCACTACTTAGACCGACATTCAAATCGGGGGTGGTTGACAAATAGTGCTTTGCGGCCTTGTCCTGGTCCCGTGCTTCGGTGTCGATTTGGAGGCCAAAAGACAGGAGGAGAATGGACGACGAGGCGACGCGCCTGATTGGCTGGTTGACAGGCAAGGTGCCAACCTGGTGCAGACGGCCAGATGCCAACTTTGTCACAGCCCCACAGCCCCACATAACAGTGCTGCCTAGTGCCAACTTGCACATGCAGCTAAAAGGCCAGTGGCCGCAGTGGACAACAGGTTTCAGGCTGTCAATTTGGTGACACCCGGCAGTGGGTTCACTGGGTTGTCAGAAATTCAGAATAGGGCTGTAGCTGTAGCGTGTTTGAGGGACTTTTACTATCACTTGATTTTATTAATAAATAAATATACCTTTTAAAATCCAGCTTCTGACTACCTACCTAGGCAGGTAGATACACATCCCTACAGATACTGGAGCCTTAACATAATCAAAGAGTCATTGATTCCTCATTTGGAAACGGCAACTGGTCTACCGGTACTCCGTACAGTTCGACAATTTAGGCCGCGTTGCGGTGTACAATATTGTGTTGTCTCATCTCTCTGGTAAGGGAGTTAAAATCTTGCCTGTTAAGCAGGTGTACATGGTGGGCTGGCAATGAGGACTAAAGCAAATAGATAGAAACACAGCCGCTGGTGACTGGGCTAGATTTCCGTTAGATGATGTGCGGATGGATGGATGGAGTCTACATCAACAGAGACGTCAATTGTTGCTAGATTCCCAAAGCTTATTTCCCTTGTTATGCTGTTATACTTTTCTCCGCGTATTAATCCCGTAAGTACCAGGCGCCTTGTCCCATATCCATGTCTTTGCAGGGTGCGTACCAATGTAGCCAGGACTTTGGCTTCGCGCAAGTCGCGAGCCCCGCTGTGGTAGCCGATACCCTTGGGGTACCGAAGTACCTACTAGCTGCCTCATCGACTTTGATCGACCTCTTTGGGCGACCGGGTGCCCCAGTCTAACCGCTTTGGGGACCGAAGACCCCCAAAGGCCATGCGGTCTCGCCGCTCAACGGCATGTCGACCGACTCCTATCTCAAGCACAATGGCACTTCTGGCAGCGTTGCGCCACTTGTATCTCTTTCCGCAATCAATTTTGTCTCGAGTGCCCACGCGACTATAAAAGGGACTGACTGCATTTACGATGAGTGTGCGTCGTCTGCCAGGTATTCCTCTGCCTCGATAACGGCTCATCTGTTCGTCCCCAACAGCATCGCACCGTGGGGACCAGGAATCGCATATTTCAGTACCGGACCCGACGGCGGAGGCCGCAACTGCAAGGACCAGCACCATGGGTGACCAGCAACCGTATTATACGATCCGGTCTTGGAGACCTGCGGATGGAGATGGGACACGGCAAGGAGGGCCAGCCGTAGGTTTCTCCGTAGTCCGTCTGCCCAGCGTCGTTGTTCAAGATGACACTAACATGTATCCCACCTCCAAGCCCATGAGCGCGTCTGCCGATGGGTTCGCAAGATCGGCGACACATGACATTAGCCGTACCAGCTTCCACGTGAAGCATATCGGCGCGTTTGCTCGGAGACTCGAAGATGTTGGTTCACTCACTCACCAACGCTCTTTTCTCATCATAGCCAGAGACTAATAGCAGACCTCACTCAGTCAGCGACGCGGGCCTTTCCAAATAGAGGCCGGACTTCTCAGAGGTACAAAAAGGTTCAGGCTCTTCTCTTACACTGGGGCTCCGATGACCTCTTTGTTCTTCCAGAATTGGAAGATCTTGAAAGGTGTCTTCGGGAGGACTATACCTTTGGAACCGATATATTTGCCATACCGTCCGAAAACTCGCATTTGGAGCTGATGATGCGCGTTGGCCAGTTGATCAGAGAACATGAATCACAAGATACGCTTTTCCTAATATACTATGGGGGTCATGCCCGGATTGACGAATCGAGACAGAGCACTTGGTGCGCGTAAGTGCTGGAACTACAACTTCATGCAACGCATATTAACACGCGTAATTCAGAACCCGGGATGCAGAGTCTCCCTGGCTACAGTAAGTGCATGCTAACTTTGCTACGTGGCACGGAGCGCTCTAATACCCACTTCACAGATGGTCTGCTATTCAGACGCTTCTCGAGCGATCCAAGTCAGATGTTCTTATCCTTCTGGATTGCTGTGCTGGAGCTGCCAGCGCGACTTTTCCCAACGGTAACAGTATTACAGAGACAATATCGGCTTCAAGTTGGGATGCTATTGCTCCAGATCCCGGGCGATACTCTTTCACAAACGCTCTGATTGAGGTTCTACAAGAATGGCGCCTACGAAGTTTCTCAGCCGCCATGCTTCACGCAGAGGTCTTGGCACGCCTCAAGCATCCTCGTCCCATTACGATCAACGGGAAGCATT